GTGGAAGGAGATTTGAGATCAGAGGCTTGGGGTTATAGGCAATGTCCTAGTTCTTTACCTGTGGGTCATCACATAGATATTTGCTTTAAAAATATTCATTAAAGTACATATTTATATTTTATAAGTCTTGTCATAATTTATTTTATTTTTAAAATATATATGTTTTATTGAATTAAGAGAGGAAGGGAGAGGGAGAGAGATATAGAAACATCAATGATGTGAGAGAATCATTGATTGGCTGCCTCCTGCACACCCCCTACTGGGGATGGAACCTGCAACCCAGGCATGTATGTGCCCTGGACAGGAATGGAACCCGGGATCCCTCAGTCCACAGGCCGACGCTCTATATACTGAGCCAGACCAGCTAGGACAGTGGTCGGCAAACTGAGGCCCCTTGAGTGTGGCTCTTCCACAAAATACCACATGCGGGCACACACATACAGTGCGACTGAAACTTTGTGGCCACACTCAAGGGGCCAAAGAGCCGCATGCGGCTCGTGAGCCGCAGTTTGCCGACCACTGCCCCAGGGAACAAGGAGCAACGTGTCCTCTATTAGGTGAAATATATATTTTATTGATTTTTTACAGAGAGGAAGGGAGAGAGATAGAGAGTTAGAAACATCGATGAGAGAGAGACATTGACCAGCTGCCTCCTGCACATCTCCCACTGGGGATGTGCCCGCAACCCAGGCACATGCCCCTGACCGGAATTGAACCTGGGACCCTTCAGTCCGCAGGCTGACGCTCTATCCACTAAGCCAAACCGGTTTCGGCAAGAATCACTGTTTTATTGAGCCTTAACTAAGTGTCCAGTGGCACTGTGCTAAGTGCTTTACTGTGCAGTTGATCTTGAACAACGCAGAGATTAGGAGCACCAATCCCCCTGCAGGCAAAAATTTGTGTATTACTTTTGGCTCCCCTAAAACTGAAGTACTGTTGACTGGATGTCTTACTAATAACATAGTCGATTAACACATATTTTGTATGTTATTTAGTACATTACATACTATATTCTTACAATAAAGTAAGGTAGAGAAAAGAAAATATTTTCAAGAAAATCATAAGAGAAAATACATTTACAGAACTGTATGTATTTATTGAAAAAATCTGAATATAAGTGGACCCCTGCAGTTCAAACCCATGTTGTTTAAGGGCCAACTGTATTTGATTCTCTTCCTTCTCACAACAGCCCCACAGGTAGTACTATTATTACTCCAGTCTACAAATGGAAACAGAGGCACACAGAGGCTGAGAAAATGACCTAGTCAGAGTCACACAGCTAGCAATCCAGCTCAGTGAGGATTCAAACTAGGCCGGTATGCCCCACGGGCACAGTGCTTAACCACTAACCCACACTGCCTCCTAGATTTGGGGAGTGCCACTCTGACCAAAAAGAATGGCTCACCCGCTCACAGCACTCTGCAAATTCACCCAGTAGCAGTTGATAGGGTTTAGCGGCCATGTTTTAGAACACAGTCAGACGGACATGGGTTCAAGTCTAGATTCAGAATTTACCTGTGTGACCTAGGGTAAGTCCTTATTTTACCAGGTGTCAGGTATACAGTAAGGGCACAATCGGCGTTCACCTCTAAAAGATATTCATCTTTGACTGCTTTTGGTAGCCTGTGAGATAGGCAAGGCAAAGCGCCACGGTCCCCGTTTAGCAGATGAAAGTCTGGTCAGTTCTCATGCCACTGAACTGCAAGGAGGCCCAGAGGGTCCCACAGGCCCCTTCCCAGCCCCGCCCTGTTGAATTCTTAGGGTCCTGCACTGGCATGTGACCGCAGGCCGGTGCTCCACACCCCGCGCAGGAATCCGGTGGTCAGGCTCGGGGCGCTGACGCGGAGGCTTTTCCGCTCCAGCTGCACAGGCCGGCAATACAGCAAATTCCACAGCCACACCTGGCGGTGCAGCTGTCCGACTGGACCAAGACAAGGATTCTCCAGTCCTCCGCTGCTGGCCCCAGGGCACGGCTGCTGGCCCCGGTGGCCTCACGCCCCAGACTGCGGGGCCTGGGCTCAGGAGCATGGGGTGCCCCTTCAAGGTTAAGCCCGCATGGCCATCCACACCTTCCAGCTCCCACCCCCACTTTTTTGGAGGAAGGTGGGGGCTAGTCCTCCCAGGAGGTTGAGGGGCTCCTTGGCGCAGCCCTGCAAACACCCAGCTTGGAATCCTTACAGAGAGGAGGACAGAAACAGACCCCCACCCCCTGCCCCAGGTTTCAGGGTTCTGGGGTCCATGGGATATCAGCCCGTAGGTTGAACTGGGGTGAGGCGCTGTCTTTTCCTGAAGAACTAAGCCCTGGTCTGCCCACCTCCCATAGGGCACAGCACTGAAGGAGAATCTTAGGTCTTCATCAGCCCTGCAGTTGGTGAGGCATTCAAGGCCGCCAACCCACAAGCAAAAACCGGTGCTTACCTCTGAGCTGATCTCTCAATCCACCTCTTACACTCTCTGTACCCTCTGAGTCTTCCCTAACCTGCCTTTTTTCAGTTCTTCAAATGGACCAAATTCCCTCTTGCCTCAGAGCCTTTGCCTGTGCTGTTCCCTTCTTGTACTGCTGTCTCTCTGGCTCACCTCTAGTGTTTCAGCTTCTCTTTTCACCCAGATAACTACTCAGTTTTAGGGGGGTTGCTTAATCATCATGTATTACTAATATGACTAATGGAGTATCTTGAAAATTCCTGAGCCATAGCTCTTCTGCATGAAGTTTATAATCAACTTGCCAACTTCTTCCAGAAACCTTGTTGGAATTTTATTGGGATCATACTGTGTCTGTACATTATGCTGGTGAGAACTGACAGCACACACAAGTTTACCTATATTGACATGATTCAGAAACAAATTAGACAAAAACGCCTTCAGCCTCCAAGAGCTGTTTTGCTCGTGCTCTTCCTTTTTACTTTTATTTCATTTCATGAGAGATCTTATTAAGCCTATTTTACAGACGAGGAAACTGAGGCTCAGAGAAATTACATGACTTGCCTCAAAGTCCCATGGTGAGGAAGTGGTGGGGCCAAGACCCACGTCTGTCTGACTCACAAAGCTGCCCATGGAGTCAGTTCAGTCTATGGGTTTGGTTTGCCTGTGTCTCCATTTGTGTGTTTACATGTAGGGTGTGTTCCCATGTACCCAGAGTGGGAAAGCATTTATATTTGAAGAGGGATGTGCTGTGGGGTTGAGTAGGAGTGCAGGTGTGTCTGTTTTACTGGACAGTGACTTCTATTTGTGTCAGTATCGGGGTCTTTGGATGTGTGTATACAGTGTAAGGGGTTTTCGTGGGTGTATTGAGGAAAGGTAATTATGTATATGGGGTAGGAAGTGTGTGTTGGGGAGACAGGAATGCGATATTTCTGTTGGTGTGTGTGTTTTCTCTTTTATATAGGACTTTAATTTTATACTTGCTGAAAGAGCTCTTTTTAAGATTTTTAAAACTATATATAACTCTTAACTTTTTTATTGAGGTATAAATTAATTTTAAATGCCAAAATCTAAAGTGTACAAGTAGATGAATTTCTATATATGTACACCACCCAGATCAAAATAGGGAACAGATACAGCAGCCTCAGTAGGAGCTCCATCATTCCCCTCTCAGTCAGTACCTCCCAGAATTAGCCCTTGTTCTGACTTCTATCATCCTAAGTTAGTTTTGCCTATAATTTAGCATCTTGTCAATGGAATCATGCAGTTTGTTTGGGCAGGTTAATAGCCAACATTGGAAAAACTTTGCTTTGTGTGCTAACACTTTCAGTGTCTCACTGAATTTCTCATAATGGCCAAATAAGGTAGCACCTATTTATTGTTCCCAATTTACAGATGAGGAAACTGAGGCTTAGAGAGGGCTTATGACTTGCCCTGCTTCACTGAGAGCCAGGATCCTCTCTGACTCCGCAGCTCTGGTCCTTGTCCACTAGACCATCCAACCATCCACTAGGTACCCTGCCAAAGAAGTGGCTGTTAATTGGGTAGAGAGAGAGCAGCAGTCAGACCTGGGCACCCAGAGGTGCTTCTGGGTGTATTTTATCTTCCGAGGAACTGGTTTCTCTGAACCTGCTGTGAGACCTCTCTAATCCTGTTTGCTGGGTCAGGACCTGCCACAGGCAGCCCAAACACCGCTGTGGTGCGGAGACACACCAAGCCACTGGGGTCGAGTTCGGGCTCCCAGACTTATTTGCTGTGTGACTGTGGGCAGGTTGCCTCCCTCTTTGAACCTCCATGTCCTCAACCTTTAAAAAGAAGGTACGTGGTTCAGGCGGTAACAGATGGAAGGTGTCACCATGTAAATTACTACAGCTGTTATTTTTTTAAATCCTTTTTATGGTAAAATAAAACACAAATACAGAAAGTCACATAAAATAAATGTAGAACCTAATAAGGTGAACCATGTGCAACCACCAGTCAGATCACAAAATAGAAGCCTTTCAAATGTCCCACCCCATCATAGCCAGAATTTACTATATAGTATTTCTTTGTGTTTCTTTATAGTTTTATTGCCCAAGGACCCATCTCTAAATAGTAGAACTTAGTCTTACACCATTGAAAAATGTTGTGTTTTTTAAGTGTTTCCACTGATTCCTCTTCCATCCCTTTTGTTTTCTTACAGTTTATCTTTTGGAAGGACCTGCAGTGCTGGTTTGTTGTTTTTTACATGTTTTTATTGATTTTAGAGAGAGAGGAAGGGAGAGGAGTGGAGAGATAGAAATATCAATGATGAGAGAGAATCATTGATCAGTTGCCTCCTGCATGCCCCTACTGGGGATTGAGCCTGCAACCCAGGCATGTGCCTGGACTGGATATTGAACTGGTGACCTTTTGGTTCATGGGTCAACGCTCAACCACTGAGCAACACCAGTCAGTGTTGACCTGGAGAGTTTTGAAGGGTCTGGATCACCACTGTGTTTTGTTTTTCTACACGTGCTTTTCTCCCTCAAGCTCCCTCCCTCCTGCACTTCGATTTGGAATATAGTAAATCTGAGTTGCAGTACTGAGTCTGCCAATTGCAGTGTCACCTTGGTCAAGTCACTTAACCTCTCTGAACCACCTTCCTCAACTGGCAAATGAGGGAGTGACTGAGAAGATTCCTAAGGCCCTTCCAGCTTTCTCCGTCTCCTCTCTCAAGCACCAGGCTCCTGTCCCACAGTCTTTTCTCAGAAGCAGCTATTGCAGGGTAAGGATCAGAGAGACCTAGTGTTGGGACCCAGTTTCCACTGGGACTGGCTATGTGAACTTGGGTGAGTTACTTAATCTCTATGAGTTTCTACTTTCTCCTCTATAGAAAGAAGATCCTGATATTTAACCCATGAAATGAGCTTAAATGAGATCATGACTCTAAAGCATTTAGTGCCTGGCATCTAGTATGTGCTAAGTAAATATTGACTGTTATTGTTATTATTATTAGCTATTATTATAGGTAACACTTATTGGCTGCTTTCTCTGTCCCAAGCTTTGTGTCAAGGATCTTCAGATGTACTAACTCATTTAATCCTCATAACAGTGTCATGAGGCAGCCCTGTTTTATAGATGAGTAAACTGAGGCCCAGAAAGGTTAAGTAGCTTGCCCACAGTTACATAACTAGTAAGCCATAGAAGTGGGTCATAGACCTAGGCTTTCTGTTAGCTACTGAGTTATACTGCCTTGAATATTACCGCTGTCTAGAATAATTTCCCCACTGTTCACTCAAACTCAGAGAGAATCCTAGGATGGGTGAGGATGGAGCAATAGCTGAATCCAGGGTGATAAAATTCCAAGGGTGAGAAAGTATTCCTACTCTAAAGGTAGTGACCAGCCAGGACATTCATCTGGGTTGCCCCTGGTTATTTCCTGCCTCCACCTTCTAACATTTTTATCCCCTGGAAACCTGCCTTAGTCAATGAGGACACAGAGAAGCTTCCACCTGGTGGAGCAGCCAGGGGTGTCCCTGTTTGTTTGCCACCAGTGTGATTTCTGGGTTTCTGGGGATGTGTGAACATGCAGGACAAGAGATGGTGACTTTGTATGCATGACGGAACTGCAGGGTGGAGAGACAGTGTAACCAGCCTTCCCAGGTGCCTATCCCACCTCAGCCACCCACTGGTTGTGTGACCCCAGATAAATGACTCCCCTCTCTGTTCCTCAGTTTCCTCATGTATATAAAAATGGATGTAATGACAATAGTATTGACTGGATAGGGATGCTCTGAAGATTGAATAAGCTTATCCACAAAAGTGATTAAAACAGTGCTGGGCACTGAGATAGGGGCAAATACATACAGCTTATATGTGTCAGATATTAAATGTGAAAGGGTGGGTGCACAGTAGAAGGGGTGCACAGTAGAAGGGATCGCGGGCTGGTGGAATGGATTGTCTGATTTGTGGGAGGAGGATGTGTTTGTGTAATGTGTGCACAGTTGCGTGTGCATTCTATAAATGTCTTGAGGATATTCACTGTCAGAATCCCAGTTACCACACAAACAAGCTCTAGGCCCTATGGCAAGACACTGAGGCTCTGTGTGCCTCAGTATCCTCATCTGTACAATGGGTGGGGTTACTACCTCAAACTTAGCTGTGAGAGATGGATGTGAAGCTCTGAACCAATGCAGGTGCCAGTTACATGGGAGACGTTCATGTTAAGCATTTTGAGAGAGTGGGCACAATTGTTGACATTCCTGGGGTCCTAAGTGCCAAGGCTGTGTCCTCCTCCCCTGGGCTGCAGAGCTCCCCCTGGTGTACCACGGATCCAGCTGCTGTAGGCAGAAGAGCCCTAGTCCAGTTTCTCCAATGGGGCATCTGAGGCCCAGAGAAGGATAGGGACTCACCCTGGGATACCCAGCATACTGAATATACCCAGAGATGGGGCTAGATGGGAGCCAGTCTCTCTTCTCCCTCTGGGGTGATCTTGCTCATTTCTTTTCTGTTTCTTGTTTTTCTTTCTCTCTGCAGAGGTCAGTATTGGCAGCTCCCATCACTCACTGCTCTGCCTGCCCCACTTCCCCCAGCATCCAGCCTGGGCTGGGTGAAGCTGCTCCAGAAGGAAGGTGTGTGGCAGCAGGCACTGTCTGGGCCATGGAGGCTGGAGCTGGGTGGCTGCCTACAGTTAGAATCCCATGTGTCTGGGGAGCACTCCGCCTGGGTAGTCCAGTCCTAGCTTCCAGCCCTGCATCACCATCTGGTTCTGCCTGGGGATTCTCAGAGGTCACTGGAGGAGGAGGCTGAAGACTCACAAATACTTCAAATTTTTTTTTTTATGTAACATCTTTCTTGTAAGTCTATTCCCCTCTCATAACAAAAGTATTGTGTATTATTCATGGAGAATACAATTAATCAGAGAGGAGGAAATTAAACTTTCTTAACTCAGAAGGACAATAGCAAAGGGGCTTTGGCAACACACACACACACACACACACACACACACACACACACACACACCGTGTGCCAGGACTGTCCGAGTGCTCCACAAATGTTAACTTATCTAGTCCTTGCAGCAATGCTCTAGGTAGGTCCCATTATGACAGCTGAGACACAAAATGGTTGAGTAACCTGCCCAAGGACACCCAGTTAGTGAGTGAAATGGGGATTTGAATGCTTAACTAATGAGGCTACACGGTGCTATGAGCAGCATCACAACGATATGCCCTGAGGCTTTATTCCTATGCATCTATACAAAAGATGGCATCCATTTTACATACTCACAGGGCCCTGCCGTCATACTTGGACTTGAATCCTTGCATTGTTGCAGATAGGCTGGCGTGACTTTTGTTCCTTCACCTCTATGGGACTTGATTTCTCTATCTGTAAAATGGAGAGCTATCAGGTATACTTCTGAGAGTTGGCTGAGCTTTCATATGAAGCACTCAGTCCTGGCCTGGTGCATAGTAGGTGCTCATGAGATGGGCCATGTTAACAGCCTGCTCTGAGGCCAGTGGGCTATGT